TATACATTAATAAAGATTTAATTAGAAGGACTTCAATCTTTACAAAAAAGACAAGTTCCACTAGTAATAAAAATATAAATTTCTAACCTTAAATTAAATTCTGTGTGCCTAATAACTTATATTTTGAAATCAAATGTATTGCTTGAAAATAGCCTTGGTCTTGATGTAACAAAAGGCACGATAATATAGCAAGTCAATTCACTGTGAGATATGTTTTAAAAGGCTATATCAATTCATCATGAGATATTTTAAAAGAGTAATAATTTTATATGAAATAACCCTAAAATTCAAGAAAGCAAAACAACTAGAAAATAGTAAAATATATCTCCTCTCCAATTTAAACAATTATTCAGTTTCTCTTTATCTCAAGACCAAACTGATTTAAAACAAAATAATATCATAGAAGAACTCACAGAGAGGAAGTCTCCTAGTATAACTAGCTACACTAAGTTATTAACATATGACTCCAGACAGTACTAAAAGTAAGTCACAAATTATGAAGAAATCTTGGAAATGTAGTGTCTTATTATGGTTTGGATCTTATATGTTGCCCAAAGGCCATGTGGACAAGGCTTGGTCTCCAGTTTGAGATGCAACTGGGAGGTGACAGAACCAGGTGGGGCCTGGTGAGGTCACTGGGGCTGTGCTCTTGAAGGAGCTATTCAGACCCAGCCCTCACACCTTCTTTGCTTCCTGACTGCCACGAGGTGAGCAGTCTTCCTCCATTATGTGCTCCCCACTGTCATGTTCTGCCTCACTGAAGGTCCAAAGAGAGAGAGAGCCAAAGGGTGATGACAAAAACCTCTGAAACAAGGAGCTAAGGTAAATCTTTCCTCCTTAGGTGCTGTTTATTTCTAGTATTTTGCCACAGTGCTACAAAGACACAAGGACAACACATGCTCTCTATTTTGTTCTTATTGTAGTAAGAGGAATAATTACAGCCTTAGCAATTGAGTTCTAATTTTATTAGCAGAGATCTGCAAGGTCATTTATGTCATATAAAAAAGTGATATAAAAGTAAAATTTAAAAACCAGTTCAAGGGAATACAGTAGTTGGGAGTGAACATTTGTCTTTATACCATAGTCTTTTATTTCTAATAAGTAGGGAACTCTTAGGATTGTTTCTTACCTTATTACTTCATTCTTTCACTGAGAAACCAATAAAAGCTTGTATGGATTTATTATGGCCTACAGAATCAATCCCATCTTCCCATCTCACCACTGAATGCTCCTCACTGTCTCTCCGAAACTGCCTCACAGCCCACCTTATGCTTCAATTCTCCCAACACACACTCTGTGCTTTCCCACATTGGGTTTGTCACCAAGCCACACAGCACAACATCACATCCTACCCACAGCACCCAGGTAATTCAGCATGGCCTATCCCTCCTCTGCCCCCAGAGCTCAGTGAGCTGCTTTGTCTTCCCAGCTCTAGTGTTGCCATCTCTGAAAGAGTTTGTATTCATCATTCCAAACTTCTGCCCCACCTCCTGCCATGGGAATGTGGAGAACTCCTGGTACCTGAACACAGGTCTTAAATATGTGTCCTTTCAACATTAATGAAGATATATTCAGGAAGTCTTCCATTTTATCAAGAAGGTATATAAATGCCAGTAACAGTATAAAATCATACAACACAATTACATTGCAGAATAACTTAAAGCATAAGTTTAAAAAAGGAAAATGAAAACAATGACATAAAAGTGGAAAAACTGGACTCAATAGTATAGTTACTGTATCAATAGTGTAATGCCAAGGTGGCAGGGAAGGCTGCATAGAAAGTGATGCTGGACCAGGTGTTTTAAGGAGAACTAAGATCTCAGAAGAGCGGGATAAGGCAAAGTGAGAGCTTTGAAAATGTGGATTTTTAAAGGATTTTTTAAAAAAGCTTTACCCTCAAAAAGTATGGTGGGCCCAGGAAAATGTGGTTGCTTTTGGGAAAACACATGGTGTGGACTGGGCAAAGTCCAGGGTGTGCTGGTGGGCTCAGGGAAAGGGCACAGAAGTGGGAGGCGGCAGATGGCACAGTCAGGGTCAGTCATGGGGCTCCATCCTGCAGGCAGGGAGAAAACACGTTAGGGTTGGTTTTGTGTGTTTTGTGCAATATCTGAGTCATATGATCAGAGTCGATCTTAAAAGTACCGGTATACCCATGCACAAAGTGGATTAGATCAGCACACCTGAAGTTGTCTTTTGTAGAATGCTATCCCCAGTGAGATTTCATAATCTTCTACCATTAAGACTAAGCATGTGCTTTTTCCAGAGATGCTAAAACATGTCCTTCCCTTGGTTTTAGGGCCACCTTTTTTCTGTTTGTTCTCCTTCAACTTCTTTGGTTGCTCCTTCTTTGTTTTCTTTTAGAGACTACAGCTGCTCCACCATTTTCTTTCAGTGCCTGGAGAATAATATTTCTTGTTTCTCCTGACAACTTTCCTTGCCTCCACTTGCCTGCCACACAGAGGTGGGGGGTCCTCCCATATGCACCGCTGGGATGCTCCCATCATGATCCTGGTCCTGCTCTCACTGTGTCATCCCCTTGACACTAGCAAGGCTGCAACTTTTTCCTATTCCGTCAATGCGCAGCACATGAGATGAAAGCTGACTCAATGACATTTAATTGACCAACTGAGTCTAAATGTATGCTACTCCAAATCTTAAAAGAGTTACAATTGGAAACACACCACATTAGACATAGAAAGTTGCTTTAATCAGGAGTTCTCTATGCAACAACTGTTTGAAGTCATTGTTAAGCAAAGTTAAATAGAAACTCACAGAGAAACCTAAGAAAAACTCTTTTGCTTTTAATTTTTAGGAAATTATGTGAGATAATCAAGAAAGACCATGTGTCATCACAAGCATTTCCAACTTACAACAAGGGGATCTGATTTTATTCCTAGTATTCAAAAACACAGCACTATGTATCAGTTCACTAAACATTCCATGAATAATTCCTTCAGATGAAATTTTTTTGTTACTCATATGCTCAAATGACAATGAGCTCATACACTATACTAATACCTCAGTTAAGTCAATTCTAGTTGTGGTAACAGGCCCTGAGAGATGTATGACAAATGGAGGGAAAGGCATTTAGCAATGACATATGCACCTTTGTGCTGTGGGGCAAGAAAAAGTTGTTTACTTAAAATGCTGAGATTTCGTCGGTCAGGTCTGGAGGGCGGATGAGAGATAGAACCTTGTCACTGTAGGCACAGGTGGTTTATTACTGGCTCTAAAGGGGCGAGAGAAAGAAGGGGGACTATACGGGCACCAGGAAAAGACTACTGGAAAAGGGTCTACTATTTTTCTTTAGAGATGTTCTGCCTGGGAGCACTTTCCTGAATGTATCTGCCCAAAACCACATGGGCAAGACATACAAAAATTATCAGGCCTAGGGATCACTGAGCTCTGAGGATGAGCAGAGATCAAAGAGATCTGAATGAGTCTAGAGCCAAGCCACCTAATAATTAGTCAATCTGTACTGGCTGGTCATCAGCTACAAAGCACTTAGCTGGACCCGGAAAAGGCCAAACTCTTTCAAGAGCTTTTCAACAGCCCCAATATGTTCTTTCATGCTTCAGAGACCCTTTATCATCTGTCTTCTGCTTATTCCAAAAGTCTCTTTCCCCAGTTCTCTACATCCTCTATAGACACCGTGATCTATCCACACAAAATTATCTGAAACTCACAAGCATCTTGTACATATATCCATCCAACCATGCACATCTAGTACCTAGCACAGTCCTGACATATAGTAGGCTTTAAAAGCCATTTGCAGAATTCAAAGTGGATTATTATGTATCCAAGGACCAAAAAGGGACGGCCAATTAATCAATAATAACTATCTCAAAGCTTTGTCACAGTGATTGTGATTAGTTATACAGTGATTTTTCATTAATAATTAAACAATACAGTTCGCAAATAATCTAATTCTTGTTTTACAAATGAGAATGTTTTTTAATACAATCCCTTACCACATCACTTTCATTTATTTCTATGTGAATAATGTTGTCTTAAGAGAACAGTAAGCAGGAAAATCAAGGCCGGAGCTTAAACAATTGCTCAGGGTCCACCCCATGATCTAAACTGCATGGCCCACCTGAGAGTGAGCCAGCACAAGGTCACATCAATTAGAAGAAAGAACACTGTATGCACATGTTGATACATCACGCATGTTGAGACATTACACTATGAAATACAAAATTCTCTGTATATAATATATATATATATATATTAAAGCGTTTTCCTTGATTTGACTAACATATTGTTATGACAAACATATTGCCATCAGACTTTGATCTATGGCTTAAATAATATGTAAATATGACAACAGAATTTAAAATTCACACATTTGTTTCCTGAAATCTTATTCAGAATAATGTTTACTTTTCTAAATAATTGTATTACTTTTTTAAAACAATGTTTAAGAAGGGTATTTTATTCCACAACAAAATATATCTCCTAAATGGTGATACTGTGATCCAACTGCTAACATTTAGAAAGTGCTCACTTAATATTCAGTCACTTTACAATCTAGACATGGATTATATAAATACAATTGTACCAATTCAGTATTGTACAGTGTTTAGTATTTGTTCCAAGCATCTATTACTGCATAATAAACTACTGCAGAATTTAATACAGTTTTATATTGTTTATTTTTTACTATTTATTTT